GGTGATATCAGTGGTGATCTCAGTGTTATAGTTTGTTTATAGATATCGGTGATCTCAGTGTTTATAGATATCGGTGATCTCAGTGTTTATAGATATCGGTGATCTCAGTGTTTATAGATATCGGTGATCTCAGTGTTTATAGATATCGGTGATCTCAGTGTTTATAGATATCTCGGTGATCTCAGTGTTTATAGATATCGGTGATCTCAGTGTTTATAGATATCGGTGATCTCAGTGTTTATAGATATCGGTGATCTCAGTGTTTTATAGATATCGGTGATCTCAGTGTTTATAGATATGATGGTGATCTCAGTGTTTATAGATATCGGTGATCTCAGTGTTTATAGATATCGGTGATCTCAGTGTTTATAGATATCGGTGATCTCAGTGTTTATAGATATCGGTGATCTCAGTGTTTATAGATATCGGTGATCTCAGTGTTTATAGATATCGGTGATCTCAGTGTTTTATAGATATCGGTGATCTCAGTGTTTATAGATATCGGTGATCTCAGTGTTTATAGATATCGGTGATCTCAGTGTTTATAGATATCGGTGATCTCAGTGTTTATAGATATCGGTGATCTCAGTGTTTATAGATATCGGTGATCTCAGTGTTTATAGATATCGGTGATCTCAGTGTTTATAGATATCGGTTTCTCAGTGTTGATAGATATCGGTGATCTCTCAGTGTTTATAGATATCGGTGATCTCAGTGTTTATAGATATCGGTGATCTCAGTGTTTATAGATATCGGTGATCTCAGTGTTTATAGATATCGGTGATCTCAGTGTTTATAGATATCGGCGATCTCAGTGTTTATAGATATCGTCGGCGATCTCAGTGTTTATAGATATCGGCGATCTCAGTGTTTATAGATATCGGCGATCTCAGTGTTTATAGATATCGGCGATCTCAGTGTTTTATAGATATCGGTGATCTCAGTGTTTATAGATATCGGATATCGGTGATCGATCTCAGTGTTTTTATAGATCATCGGTGATCTCAGTGTTTATAGATATCGGTGATCTCAGTGTTTATAGATATCGGTGATCTCAGTGTTTATCAGTGTTTAGATATCGGTGATCTCAGTGTTTTATAGATATCGGTATAGATATCTCAGTGTGATATCGGTGATCTCAGTGTTTATAGATATCGGTGATCTCAGTGTTTATAGATATCGGTGATCTCAGTGTTTATAGATGTCGGTGATCTCAGTGTTTATAGATATCGGTGATCTCAGTGTTTATAGTTTCGGTGATCTCAGTGTTTTATAGATCTCAGTTTTATAGATATCGGTGATCTCAGTGTTTATAGATATCGGTGATCTCAGTGTTTATAGATATCGGTGATCTCAGTGTTTATAGATAGTTGTCGGTGATCTCAGTGTTTATAGATATCGGTGATCTCAGTGTTTATAGTGTTTTAGATATCGGTGATCTCAGTGTTTATAGAGATATATCTCAGTGTTTATAGATCTCAGTGTTTATAGATATCGGTGATCGATCTCAGTGTTTATAGATATAGTTTATAGTCGGCGATCTCAGTGTTTATAGATATCGGTGATCTCAGTGTTTATAGATATCGGTGATCTCAGTTTATAGTTTATAGATATCGGCGATCTCAGCGGTTTTATAGATATCGGTGATCTCAGTGTTTATATAGATGTCGGTGATCTCAGTGTTTATAGATATCGGTGATCTCAGTGTTTATAGATGTCGGTGATCTCAGTGTTTATAGATGTCGGTGATCTCAGTGTTTATAGATGTCGGTGATCTCAGTGTTTATAGATGTCGGTGATCTCAGTGTTTATAGATATCGGTGATCTCAGTGTTTATAGATATCGGTGATCTCAGTGTTTATATAGATATCGGTGATCTCAGTGTTTATAGATGTCGGTGATCTCAGTGTTTATAGATGTCGGTGATCTCAGTGATCTCAGTGTTTATAGATATCGGTGATCTCAGTGTTTATAGATATCGGTGATCTCAGTGTTTATAGATATCGGTGATCTCAGTGTTTATAGATATCGGTGATCTCACTGTTTTATAGATATCGTGATCTCAGTGTTTATAGATGTCGGTGATCTCAGTGTTTATAGATATATGTGATTTCAGTGTTTATAGATATCGGTGATCTCAGTGTTTATTAGATGTCGGTGATCTCAGTGTTTATAGATGTCGGTGATCTCAGTGTTTATAGATAGATATCGGTGATCTCAGTGTTTATAGATATCGGTGATCTCAGTGTTTATAGATATCAGCGATCTCAGTGTTTATAGATATCGGCGATCTCAGTGTTTATAGATATCGGTGATCTCAGTGTTTATAGATATCGGTGATCTCAGTGTTTATAGATATCGGTGATCTCAGTGTTTATAGATATCGGTGATCTCAGTGTTTATCTGCCCACCATTCGGCTTTAAATACCCCGCAAGCTCTTGGCAGACGTATTCCTGCCGCGTGTTTTTTGGCTGTCTTACCAGATAAAGATAATTGAGTGGCGCATTACTGATGTGGCAATATTTTGTTTATGAGAACCTGTTCGCGGCAGGTGTGCTAATCACCCCTCGCCTGCACAGCAGTGATTAAAGCTCCGAGCTGCGCTTCCATCGCTCAAATACCCACCGACGTGTCCAACGCCAGCTGTAGGACGGCTCCCATAATCCCTTATCCTAATTAACGCACCTCCATCGCCACTCTGTCTAAATATTCGCAGGACCCCCCCGCGACGCACGGCCTTCAGTTCGCCGTGAGCTGGCGATCCCTTTAAATCGAGAAGACTCTGGGAATAACTGGACAGTTATTGATATCCGTTTTGGGGTTTAACAGAGTTGCGTCGAGGAGGAAAGTGATAGGAAATGATAACGTTCGCGATTTTAGCTAACACAAGGCTCCAGAGAGCCGTCATTTAATGTCGCTGTAATTAACTTCATCTAGGTGTACCTGTCCATCTGTTCTCAGCGCTGATTAAAGGGACAGTCAGCCACGTCCCCGTCCCGTATGTGCAGAGCGGCGGTATAATGTATAGGAGTTCTGATTGCATCCCTGTAGCAGTTCATTAGCAAACTCTGAGATTTTGGTATTATGCCAAACAGATGATGTGTGTGTGTGTGTATATATATATATATATATATATATATACTGAAGGTTACAATTTGTCCCTGTTTCTTGAGGCAATCCCCTTACCTTATACTGACCACTAAGCTCTCTGCAGTACCTAATCTTGACCCATGAACACTCTGTCTTATTTACTCCTGACCCCTGTACTCTGTGTGTTATACGCTCCTGACCCCCGTACTCTGTGTGTTATACGCTCCTGACCCCCGTACTCTGTGTGTTATACGCTCCTGACCCCCGTACTCTGTGTGTTATACGCTCCTGACCCCCGTACTCTGTGTGTTATACGCTCCTGACCCCGTACTCTGTGTGTTATACGCTCCTGACCCCCGTACTCTGTGTGTTATACGCTCCTGACCCCCGTACTCTGTGTGTTATACGCTCCTGACCCCCGTACTCTGTGTGTTATACGCTCCTGACCCCCGTACTCTGTGTGTTATACGCTCCTGACCCCCGTACTCTGTGTGTTATACGCTCCTGGCCCCCGTACTCTGTGTGTTATACGCTCCTGACCCCCGTACTCTGTGTGTTATACGCTCCTGACCCCCGTACTCTGTGTGTTATACGCTCCTGACCCCCGTACTCTGTGTGTTATACGCTCCTGACCCCCGTACTCTGTGTGTTATACGCTCCTGACCCCCGTACTCTGTGTGTTATACGCTCCTGACCCCTGTACTCTGTGTGTTATACGCTCCTGACCCCTATAGTCTGTGTGTTATACACTCCTGACCCCTGTACTCTGTGTGTTATACACTCCTGACCCCTGTAATCTGTGTGTTATACACTCCTGACCCATGTGCTCTGTGTGTTATATACTCCTGACCCCTGTACTCTGTGTATTATATATTCCTGACCCATGTACTCTGTGTGTTGCTTCTGACCCCTGTACTTTGTGGGTTACTTACTCTTGACCCCTGTACTCTGTGTGTTATATACTCCTGATCCCCTGTACTCTGTGGGTTACTTACTCTTGAACCCTGTACTCTGTTTGTTACTTGCTCCTGACCCCCGTACTCTGTGTGGTACTTGGTCCTGACCCCATACCCTGTGTGTTACTTACTCCTGACCCCTGAACTCGCTGCCTTACTCATTCCTGACCTCTAAACTCTGTGTGTTATATACTCCTGACCCCTGTACTTTTTGTGTTATATACTCCTGACCCCTGTACTCTGTGTGTTATATACTCCTGACCCCTGTACTCTGTGTGTTATATACTCCTGACCCCTGTACCTTTTGTGTTATATACTCCTGACCCCTGTACTTTGTGTGTTATATACTCCTGACCCCTGTACTCTGTGTGTTACTTGCTCCTGATCCCTATACTCTGTGTGTTACTTACTCCTGACCCCTGAACTCGCTGTACTCTGTGTGTTATATACTCCTGACCCCTGTACTCTGTGTGTTATATACTCCTGACCCCTGTACACTGTGTGTTACTTGCTCCTTACCCCTGCACTGTATGTGTTATTTACTCTTGACCCCTGCATTCTGTGTGTTACTTACTCCTGGCCCTGCGCTCTGTGTGTTATTTACGCCTGACCTATGCACTCTGTGCGTTACTTATTCTTGAACCCTTAACTCTGTATGTTACTTATTTTTGACCCCTGAACTCTGTTCTGTGTGTTGTTTATTTCTGATCCTTGCACTCTGTATGTTATTTACTGATGACCCCTGCAATCTATGTGTTACATACCCCTGACCTTGCACTCTGTGTGTTACTTACTCCTGACCCCTGCATTCTGTGTATTACACACTCCTGACCCCTGCACGCTATGCTTTACAATCTCTTGACTCATAGCAAGATAAGCTCAGGCTTCATGTAACCATTCCCCCTAAGCTGAAGAATATATTTAAAAAAAATATTTTTTAAATATATTCTTATATAGCGAATGCGGGGTCCGGGGAGAGCGGATATAGTGAATGCAGGGTCCGGGGAGAGCGGATATAGTGAATGCAGGGTCCGGGGAGAGCGGATATAGTGAATGCAGGGTCCGGGGAGAGCGGATATAGTGAATGCGGGGTCCGGGGAAAACAGATATAGTGAATGCGGGGTCTGGGGAGAGTGAATATAGTGAATGCGGGGTCCTGGGAGAGTGGATATAGTGAATGCGGGGTCCGGGGAAAGGGGATATAGTGAATGCGGGGTCCGGGGAGAGCGGATATAGTGAATGCGGGGTCCAGGGAGACCAGATATAGTGAATGCAGGGTGTGGGGAGAGCGGATATAGTGAATGCAGGGTCCCCCTCTTATGTATTATACATGGAGATCATATCCCCCCCTTATGTATTATACATGGTGATCATATCCCCCCTTATGTATTATACATGGAGATCATATCCCCCCCTTATGTATTATACATGGTGATTATATCCCCCCTTATGTATTATACATGGAGATCATATCCCCCTTATGTATTATACATGGAGATCATATCCCCCCTTATGTATTATACATGGAGATCATATCCCCCCCTTATGTATTATACATGGTGATCATATCCCCCCTTATGTATTATACATGGAGATCATATCCCCCCTTATGTATTATACATGGTGATCATATCCCCCCTTATGTATTATACATGGTGATCATATCCCCCCTTATGTATTATACATGGACATCATATCCCCCCTTATGTATTATACATGGAGATCATATCCCCCCTTATGTATTATACATGGTGATTATATCCCCTCTTATCTATTATACATGGAGATCATATCCCCCCCCTTATGTATTATACATGGAGATCATATCCCCCCTTATGTATTATACATGGAGATCATATCCCCCTTATGTATTATACATGGAGATCGCATCCCTCCCTTATGTATTATACATGGAGATCATATCCCCCCTTATGTATTATACATGGAGATCATATCCCCCCTTATGTATTATACATGGAGATCATATCCCCCCTTATGTATTATACATGGTGATCATATCCCCCCTTATGTATTATACATGGAGATCATATCCCCCCCTTATGTATTATACATGGTGATTATATCCCCCCTTATGTATTATACATGGAGATCATATCCCCCTTATGTATTATACATGGAGATCATATCCCCCCTTATGTATTATACATGGAGATCATATCCCCCCTTATGTATTATACATGGAGATCATATCCCCCTCCTTATGTATTATACATGGAGATCACATCCCTCCCTTATGTATTATACATGGAGATCACATCCCTCCCTTATGTATTATACATGGAGATCATACCCCCCTTATGTATTATACATGGAGATCATACCCCCCTTATGTATTATACATGGAGATCATATCCCCCCTTATGTATTATACATGGAGATCATATCCCCCTTATGTATTATACATGGTGATCATATCCCCCTTATGTATTATACATGGAGATCACATCCCTCCCTTATGTATTATACATGGAGATCACATCCCCCCTTATGAATTATACATGGAGATCATATCCCCCCTTATGTATTATACATGGAGATCATATCCCCCCTTATGTATTATACATGGAGATCATATCCCCCCTTATGTATTATACATGGAGATCATATCCCCCCTTATGTATTATACATGGAGATCATATCCCCCCTTATGTATTATACATGGAGATCGTATCCCCCTTATGTATTATACATGGAGATCATATCCCCCCTTATGTATTATACATGGAGATCATATCCCCCTTATGTATTATACATGGAGATCATATCCCCCCTTATGTATTATACATGGAGATCATATCCCCCCTTATGTATTATACATGGAGATCATATCCCCCCTTATGTATTATACATGGAGATCATATCCCCCCTTATGTATTATACATGGAGATCATATCCCCCCTTATGTATTATACATGGAGATCATATCCCCCTTATGTATTATACATGGAGATCATATCCACCCTTATGTATTATACATGGAGATCATATCCCCCCCTTATGTATTATACATGGAGATCATATCCCCCCTTATGTATTATACATGGAGATCATATCCCCCATTGACCCCCCCAGTTGTACCCCCCCTAGTATGTATGATGCATATTCTTAGCCCCCAAGTGAAGATCCTTACATTTATCAACATTAAACCTCATTGGCCCCATAGTCCCCCAATCACACAGAGCATTGAGGTCGGCTTGTAAGTTGGAGACATCCTGTAAGGACGTTATTCCCCGGCACAGCTTGCCTTGCCAACGAATGCCTAACTAGGTAACAAGAAGTCTAGCTAACAGACTGTATATACAATATGTGCAAATGGGGAACACAAAAAAGCAGGGGAGAACTGAAGGTGCAGGAAACAAAAAATGTAGCACCTACCCAGGAAAGCTAGGGGGAGCTAGTTCATTATTTTTCTAGACAGGAGGCTGAATAGCAGTCGGGAGAGATAGCCAGAGGGGTCATATTGGGGTCAGGGCTGAGAGGCTCTGCAGATCAGCTCTCTGGAACCTCCCACTGATCTAGAGACTTAGAAAAGTCTCTAGAACTCAGTGGGTGGGGGTGAGGAGTGGCTTATCTGCATGCTTAAAGGAACTCAACCAATCCCCAAGCAGAAGGCTTGACAAGAGTTCAGGACAGCCTTTAAGCATGACTGAGCCTGCTCAGCAGAAGGAGAGTTCGGGTGGAAGATGGAGTGAGTAGGATGGTGTGTGGAGCCTGGGAGGGGGTCCTGGAAAAGAACCTACCTGAAAGCAGAGGAGCTGGAAGGGAGGATCTCTCAGCCTCATCATCCCCGAGAGAGAGGACAACCTGGGAAGCAGGGAAGGAGTCAGCCCAGTATAAGGCCTGAAGGCAGCCACCAACCCACATGCTTGCAGGAGAGGACTTAGTGAGTTATCACACACCCCCAGAGCCAGATAAAGGGAGAGGGCATTCTGGTGGGAAACCGGATTAAACCCCCATCTGGGACTGCTGATCTTCAAGTGGCAGATTCTGGATCCCCTTGCCCAGGGATTCCCTCAGGCAGCTTGGAGAAGAGGAGATTTTATCTGAGGTCTGAGGTGGTACGTCAGGAGAGGCTGGATTGCTCTCCAAAGAAGAGAAACCCTTCTGAGCTTTGTACATAGTTCCGGGAAGTTGTCCTCAGTTTACCAGTTCCTTGGAATCCCATGTCTCCCTCATCCCCATCCAAGTTATCAACCCCTTAATAAAATCACAAAAAAACAAGTTCAAAGACTGTCTTTGGAGTTCAAGGCTGGAAATGCATGTTGCCTGGCCATGCAGGACTATATGGGGACTCAAATCTTCAGCGACTATTAGGGGGTAGTGTTACATATAGGAAGGGGGAACCAAAACTGGGACTATGACAAAGGGGGAGTAGGAACAAGGCAGCAGGGTTCAGGGTATAGGTACAAGGCAAAGAGCACGATCGAGAGCAGAAAACAGGATAAATGGCTAGCAGTATCTGGCAGCAACGCAAAACATTGAATCAAGGGGGAAATGTGGAGGAGGAACTAAATACCCTCCCAGCAGCCAGCATCCAGTGGAGACTGATTGCTGTGATCTGCTGGAAGACACCCATGGGTGGATACCGGAATTACAACCTTTCTCCCAGAAGCACAGTGCTACCAGCAGGTGATCAAGATCCTGACAGGGAGATCAATGAGCGGTCTTCATTACAGGAAGTCTCACACTGGATTACTGCACAGATCTGAACGAAATATACAAAGCACACCATGCTTCAAGGACGAATACACACGACGAATGGATTCAGACAAAATTTGCTTATTCCAGAGACCAGAAGGAGTGCAGGAGCTGCCAGCCTAATATTCATGTTCTCCATAGTCAGACCATTTGGATGATAGTTATACATAATTCTTATGCAAATAAGCCTCAAGATTCCATCACCATTATCCCACTTTTTAAAGGGAACAGCAGAGGGTGCCAACTAAGTGCAGTATATATGAAAAGACTTTATTAATCAGTGTGAACCCGGGCTTAAGGAATACAGTTTTTTTTTTTTTTTGTTTTTTTTTTTTAAGTCTGCAAACGTGCAACTATAACGAAAAAACCCGTAAGTGTTCACAAAAAAAAGTGCAAGTGCAAAACACCACACGAAAAAGTGCACTTAGGGGTGTGCTGTGTCCTACCCCTAAAGGGGCTTGGACCGCTTACCCTGATCCCCCGGGGCACGAAGCTCCTGACGGGGACAAGGTTCCCAATTGGTCCTCCTGGCCAAAAGGCCTGGTGGACCACCGTTCCCTATGCCCAGCCGAAGCCGGACATCCAGTACTAGGCAAGGAGGCTCTCCCGAAGAAGAGCCTCCTAGGGATCAGGGGAGGAAGGAACCGTATGGCCACACATCCTCCCCCTAGACTTCAGGGTAGGCCTGAGGACCCACACCCTCCATCCGTGAAAAAAAACACACACATAAGGCAAAGAAAAAGTGACAAACGTGGGTAAGTGCATAATAAATAAGAGAAAGAAAAAATAAAAAAGTGGTACCGTGCCGAATTGTGCACAGACCAGGCCCTGAGGCCCGTAGCAAAAATTGCCCTGAACTTAGCCAAAAGGCCTGGTCCTTAGGGCGCTGTGCAAAAAGAGGTGAAAAACAGTGACCATGTGTCATCTTCACACCGTGGGGTCCCACACCCAAGTGTTACTAGTGACACCCCTGAGAGCGTCTTCCCCAGGGGGCACTGAGTTTGCGGACTTTTTGCGTCCCCAGCCCCTGGCCAGACCAAGGTAGATCCGTCCAAATCAGGAGGTACTGGGTCTTTCCAGTCTTCCCAGAGGAATTACTCCCGGGGCCCCAGCTTAACTCGTGGCGCTCCCCGGTTTCTGTCCCTCCGGTACTAGCCTTCCGGACCCCCATCATTCCAGTGAGGGTACTATACAACAACCATCCCCGCAAAGCTAGAATGGTCGGGAGCACCCCCACTGGACACTGATAAGAACAGATACTACACTTGATCTTAGCCAAAAGGCCGAGAAGCGATAAGGGATACAGTTGCAATATGTAACAGAACCGACCCCAGACTGTGCTTGAGTACTTCCACCTCTGCCCCCCTCGGGAGAGCCTTCCACTACCCCCCCTCCCAGTGACAGAGAGAAAGACACTCATCTTCAAAGCTCCAGACATCCCTGGGAACATGAGTCAAGCTCTACATACACCATCAAGCAGCCTCTCTTGCATCCCACTTGGTTCCCATGGCGTGCATGTCCCTTCTTTTATCCCTTCTTCTGAGGGGAGGTGCTGCCCATCTGAAAAATGCCGCCCTAGGCAAGTGCCTTGTTTGCCTTGTGGTAAATACGCCCCTGATTGCGATCCCCACATGGACTACCACTTCCCCATCCAAACACCGACAACAGACACCACAGCCGACCATACAAGACTAGATGACAGGGGCGGACTGACCATTCAAGCACTTGGGCACTGCCCAAGGGCCCAGGGTCAGTAGGGGGCCCCATGCAATGCCCCTGGTACATATTATAGGCTTTTTTGAGCGTGGGCAAGGACACAGGGGCCCCATGATCCCCTATTGCCCGGGGGCCCCATGAGTTGTCAGTCCACCCCTGCTAGATGACACCAGTATTGAAGTAAACCAGGAGCAGGGGCAGACTGACCATTTGGAAACTCAGGCACTGCCCAAGGGCCCGGGGTCAGTAGGGGGCCCCATGAGATGCCCCTGGTACCTTTTTCATAGGCTTTTTTGAGTTTGGGCAAGGACACAGGGGCCCATGATCCCCTATTGCCCGGGGGTCCCATGAGTTGTCAGTCCGCCCCTGACCAGGAGGTAGACTAGTTTATTTGAACACAGATACAATACATACAGTATATATACACTCAGCGGACAAGGGGACAATCCCCCCTCCCTGCATAATGGCACAGAGCGGGGCAATCTACATTTAGTAACAAGAGACACACCAGCAGACAGTCCCATCAGGAAGGAGGGCTGCTGGAGACACCCCCCACCAAGCAAAAACACATAAACACATACATCCCATAATAGTTTGCTCCCAAGCCAGACACACAATAGAACAATGGGATGCAACCACACAACACCACCAAACAATCCACAACCCCCACACCACCTATACATGTCTACACAATATTAGGACAGATCATCCTGTACCCCTCACAGGCACAGGGTGACTTACACATAATAGGGATATGGGGAGCTGAGACAGGGGTCTCCCCACCTCTCCCAAGTGAGCTGGTTTCCATGGGCCCCCCACTCAAAGTGACTCCTGTCACTCATGGGGCCCCTGGGCAATAGGGGTTCATGGGGCCCCTGTGTCCTTGCCCAAACTCAAAAAAGCCTATGAAAAAGTTACCAGGGGCATCTCATGGGGCCCCCTACTGACCCTCGGGCAGTGCCTGAGTTTCCAAATGGTCAGTCCGCCCCTGCCCGTCACACAATATTTGATTCTTTATATGAAAAATACCTTTTTCAAACCCACCCCCCCCCCCCCTAAAAAAAAAAACAAACAACAACAGCCAGCCATGGTCCTCACAAAGATCAGCAGTTCAGTTTTTTTTTTCATCTAATAAAACCTCATCTAGTTGTTTAAATTAGAATTAGGGAACATAACGGCAACAAATGTAATAATGGATATATAGAGCGATCTGCAGCATCTGATAAAAATTTCAGTTTCCGAACTCGCAGGAATTTGGCAGCTGTTAGAAAATTAAATGATTAAGGCTGAATTATAGAGCAGCTTCCAGCGCAAGAGAGGAGCTTGGGGGGGGGGGGAGGGGAGGAGGGGAAACCGGGAGTTTAAAAGAACCTTTCCGAAAATATTTCCATAACCGTATTTCAGCAAAACGGAGAAGAGGCGTTCACAGGGATGTTCAGGTTATGCTTATAGACGGCAAAGTAGCAGCAATTTGTATCGGAGTAATTGGACTGTCTGAGCGGGAGAGGAAATTCAATATGGAGGGGCTCCCAGCCTGTCGCACTGTGCGAGTCTGGCTCGCCTATATTACCGGATTCCGAATTAAACCGTCCCGCTAATCAGACGCCTGATGACAATTCTGGCTGGGGCTAAGCGAAAAGGAAAAAAAAATAAATAAAAGTCTAAAAACCATATCACACCGAATACTGCCAAGGGGGGGTCGTCGGTTAAAGGGAAAGTACAAAGGCCTAGCATTGCCTTACCGCACATGCATTATGCGTGTTCTGTTGCATGTTAATCTGCATTAGGAAAGAAGAATGTAGCAAACGAATGCATGTACTCCTGCGCTGAACTGTGGACTCCCCGCCAGGGTTGGACTGACAACTCATGGGGCCCCCGGGTAATAGAGGATCATGGGGCCCCTGTGTCCTTGCCCAAACTCAAAAATGCCTATGAAAAAGCTATTGGGGCATCTTAGTCTGCCCCTGGTGACAGAAGTCACTTTGGGTGGGGGGGCCATGGAAACCAGCTCACTTTGGAGAGGTGGGGAGACCCCTGTCTCAGCTCCCCATATCCTTATTATGTGTAAGTCACCCTGTGCCTGTTAGGGGTACAGGGTGATCTGTCCTAATATTGTGTAGACATGTATAGGAGATAGGTGGGGTGGGGGTTGTGGATTGTTTGGTGTTGTGTGGTTGCATCCCATTGTTCTATTGTGTGTCTGGCTTGGGAGCAAACTATTATGGGATGTATGTGTTTGTGTATTTGCTTGGTGGGGGGTGTCTCCAGCAGCCCTCCCTCCTGATGGTACTGTCTGCTGGTGTGTCTCTTGTTACTAAATGTAGATTGCCCCGCCTTGAGTCATTATGCAGGGAAGGGACATTGTCCCCTGAGTGTATATATATATATTGTATCTGTGTTCAAATAAACTAGTCTACCTCCTGGTCAGGGGTGGACTGACAACTCATGGGGCCCCCGGGCAATAGGGGATCATGGGGCCCCTGTGTCCTTGCCCAAACTCAAAAAAATGCCTATGAAAAAGGTACCAGGGGCATCTCATGGGGCCCCCTACTGACCCTGGACCCTCGAGTTTCCAAATGGTCAGTCCGTCCCTGCTCCCCGCTATTGTGATCAGTAGTGTATTTGGTTTTGTGCTGCCCTAGGCAACACAAAAATTGTCTGCCCCCATGGACACCAACCAACACCCCCCCTTACCCTTCCCATGGAGCGAGCCTAACATTGACCAACACCCCTGCCCCCCACTCGGGAGAGCCTTCCACTACCCCCCCTCCCGGTGACAGAGAGAAAGGCACTCATCTTCAAAGCTCCAGACATCCCTGGGAACGTGAGTCAAGCTCTACATACACCATCAAGCAGCCTCTCTTGGATCCCACCTGGTTCCCATGGCGTGCATGTCTCTTCTTTTATCCCTTCTTCTGAGGGGAGGTGCTGCCCCCCTGAAAAATGCCGCCCTAGGCAAGTGCCTTGTTTGCCTTGTGGTAAATACGCCCCTGATTGTGATCCCTAGATGGATTAGAGAAATGCAGGCCTTGCTTACCAGGGATATCCAAAAGAAACTGTATGTGAAAAACAAAAAAGAGGCACAGGCCTAGTGCATTACCTTAAAAATAGGATTTATTGATAAAAAGTAAAATACTCACAAAAAATAAAATGATGTAAAATCTTGTGTCACAAGAGATGCAGTGTGGTACAGGAACCCCTGTGGGTGGTCTGGTGGGAGACTGGAAGCCACTGGATAGCTGGTGGCTGACGCGTTTCGTCTTTCACATACAGTTAATCTGCATCGCTCTAAAGCTGAACTCCCGGAAGGCCGCATTCATACCTCTATGACTAAGCCCTTGGGGCAGGGCGAAATGCGTCGTAGGGCATGGCTTTGGAGGACCCGAGGTTGAGGCCGTCTTCCACTTACTTTTTTATTTTTTAATATATACTTCATTTTCATATAAGGTACTTTATCGGGGTACGTTCCACACTGTACTGCGACGCAGGGCATGAATACACCTAAATGGACAAAAACAGATGTAAACAGATGAAACATGGATGAAAAATTTATGTAAACAGACAAAACTGGTGTAAACGGATGTAAACAGACAAAAATCGAATGAAAAACAAATGAAAACGGATGAAAAATGGATGT